CAAAAATTAACGAAAAGTCAGATCAAAGCCAAATTAAGTTTGCACCCGTTTTAGAAGGTGCACTAACGATTCCAAGCATTTAAAACAGTTTTTGAACCTTTTAAGACACACTTAAATTTGCAAAAATGGACATCGCAAAACCATTGAAATGCATTGAATAGGCTTCAATGCATTCCAATGGAGGAAACATTGTATCGCTTAACGATGTTTCCTATGGGTTTTTTCGCTTAAGGACGGCAATCTGTGCCTATTGGAATGGATTAACTGGTTTTCAATGCACCTCTATGGGAAAACACGTTTCGCTTAACTATGTTAAGCGAGGCACCACTGTATAAGCGCTACAAGAGAGATATTGATTGAAAGTATATAGCAGTTTGGAATAAAAGTGATTGCCAAATGATCCAATATGTGTTAGTACCTGAAACAGTTCATATGTGATTTACATTTATGATCTGTTTGATAATAAAAGAATATTTAATTAAATCTCTGATTCCTAAGTTCTATAACTCTTAGTTTTGGCATCACATGGGTGTAACATAATTGGTATTAGGAGAACACCTGGTGGCAGTGTGAAGGAAGAAGGGCGCAATCCTTTTTTAATTTAAGGACAGGGTATGGAATACAAAAAGTAAGGGGGAAGAGGGAAGAGGGAGAAAAAGGATAGGGGGATAGAAGAACACAGAGTATACCATCATCCAATCAATTCAAATTACAATAACAAATCAACTTTTTGCTTTCATCTTATCATTTAATTTTAGTTTAATTCTGTGTTACTCCAGCACTATGTGGTAACTGCAGCCATTTATACAATACATCCCATCACTCTGTTTCCTTTTGAATTGAACAGTCTTTCAGCCCATCTGACAGAATATCCATTTTTGTCACTTCCCATATTTTTACAATAAGATTTTCTTGTTTCAGTGTCTCTTTCCTGAGATTTTTAACATAATGCTTTTTAATTTTGGAAGCTGCATAGGTCACTGGATAACTCTCTATCCCATATATGTTACCTGGTGTCATGCCCAATAAAGACGGTTCTAAAGTTTGTGCAGCTTCATTTAAGTTTTGTTTGGCATCTAATGTACCCTCTTCCGTCACTTTCATCAGATCTTCTATTTTGCTAAGAGCTTGATTCACTTGCTGAAACCCTGTTATTATTATCTTTTGCTCAAAAAGAGATGGAACACCAATTTAAAATGAGACAATTAGAACTAACAGCCTCAAATCAGAATAATAACAATTCACCAGTTGAAGAGACTTCATAAAGAGACTTGAAGAAATTCCCACAATTCAGAAAGGGGGATAATCCTAAAGCATTCCTGATTCTGTTTGAGAGCCTGCTGGGACTACAAAATAGAGCAATCAGAGAAAATGATCCTTTTAGGAACCCAAACTAGTGGAGAACTCACTGAAATATACGCCCAAATGCCCCAAGAAAAAGCAAGAGAATACGAAGCTTTTTAAAAGCTGGTTTTTGTGAGGTTTGGGATCAATGCAGAACATCTGAGGCGGAAATTTAGGGCATTGAGCAAAAAGCATGAGGAATCCTATTCTCAATTAGGGGCAAATATGATGAGGTATTTGGAAAAGTGGCTTGAGCAGTCAGAAGTCCAGAACCTAGAGGATATGAAAAATGTCATTGGTCTTGAACAATTCTCAGTTCTACCTGGGGAATTGAGGTAATTGGTAACAGATAAAAAGCCTAAAAACATTTTGGAAGCCAGCAAAATTGCTGACCATATTACAGAAATAAAACATCCCAGATACTCTGAGGTAAAAATTGGAGGGAAAGCTTGGGATGACAGAAAGAAAGAACCCAGAGAGTACCTCAGAGATCAACAGGCAGTTGGAAGCCATTTTAGGGGCAAGCCCTCAGAGCAGAGCCAGCAGAGATATAAAAACGGAAGGAAAGGGAGATAAATCCCCAAGTTTTGAACGAAAAGTTTCTAGATCCTGTTTTGGTTGTGGAGAACAAGGACACTTCATATCTCGGTGTGCCAAGAATAGAGATTATGGGCACAAAAAGAGAATTTGAATTTGCCTAAGAAAGTATATTGTGTACAGCAGAATAAGGCACCCACAGGGACAGTTGAAGTGGGCGCCATAGCAACCTCAACTGCTAGAGAACCACAAGAACAACAAATCCCAATAGCTAAAATTCTCCATTGTTATTTGATTGAAAGTAACCAGGAACTTATTAAATATTCTGGGGATAATATTTATATAAATGAGACTAAATATCTAGCTCTAAAAGACTCATGCTCTCAGGTGACGTTATGCCATCCAGAAATAATCCCTCCAAAATATATATTGAAAGATGAAAGCCTAACAGTCAAAGGA